TACCCGTCCTTTACCAGCCAATCACTCCCACTCCCCCCCCCGTCTCCCAGCCAATCACTCCCACTCCCCCCCCCCCGTCTCCCAGCCAATCACTCCCACTCCCCCCCCCGTCTCCCAGCCAATCACTCCCACTCCCCCTCCCCCCATCCCCCCCACATCCAACCTCCCACACCTCCTGGACAGTATACAAATTGGTCTCGGTGGGGAGCCAATCAGAGCCACGATCAAGGTCAAACAGGCAATACCACTCAGTCACGGGATCATTATAAGGGTCATCAGATAGGTATCAGAATGTCAAACGACCCGACAGCTTGTTAGGTATTAACTATCCCAATGACTGCCGGAGGAGGTCAGTAACTATCCCAGTCGTTAACTGACACCATGACCGAACGCCAGCACGTGTCTCCCAGCCTTCCGTGAGTCAATATATCTTCAGTCTATATATATATATATATATATATATATATATATATATATATATATATATATATATATATATATATATATATATATATATATATATATATATTCTGGGATACTCCCAGAGTATCCCAGCCTCTTCCAGCCTCTCCCAGAGTATCCCAGCCTCCCACAGAGTATCCCAGCCTCCCACAGAGTATCCTAGTCTCCCACAGAGTATCCCAGCCTCTCACAGAGTATCCCAGCCTCTCACAGAGTATCCCAGCCTCTCACAGAGTATCCCAGCCTCTCACAGAGCATCCCAGCCACTCACAATGCATCCCAGCCTCTCACAGAGTATACCAGCCTCTCACAGAGTATCCCGACCTCTCACAGAGTATCCCGACCTCTCACAGAATATCCCAGCCTCCCACAGAGTATCCCAACCTCTCGTAGAGTATCCCAGCCTCTCACAGAGTATCCCAGCCTCTCACAGAGTATCCCAGCCTCTCACGGAGTATCCCAGCCTCTCACAGAGTATCCCAACCTCTCACAGAATATCCCAGCCTCTCACAGAATATCCCAGCCTCTCACAGAATATCCCAGCCTCCCACAGAGTATCCCAACCTCTCACAGAGTATCCCAACCTCCCACAGAGTATCCCAGCCTCTCACAGAATATCCCAGCCTCCCACAGAGTATCCCAACCTCTCACAGAGTATCCCAACCTCCCACAGAATATCCCAGCCTCCCACAGAGTATCCCAACCTCTCACAGAGTATCCCAGCCTTCCTCAATTGTTAGGTACCTCCAGTGGAGGCAGACAATCCCAGATGGACACCACGTCTCTGCACGGGGTCCTCTCTTATTGTGGGTGCTCGTGGGTCGGTTGGTAGGACTGTGGGCTGCTGGGTTTGAGGGTTCGTCTATCTAGCTGGAGCCATGAGGTCTCTTCCCGCTGTTTCCATTTTCTATCTAAATATACATCTATCTTTTCCCCTCTATCCATCCATTTATCTCCTTCTTATTCATCCATATATTTATCCCTTTGTTCATCTATCTATCTATCATCTATCCATCTATCATTTATCCATATATTTATCAATCCCTCTGTCTTCTAACTGACACCATGACCGAACGCCAGCACGTGTCTCCCAGCCTTCCGTGAGTCAATATATCTTCAGACTATATATATATATATATATATATATATATATATATATATATATATATATATATATATATATATATATATATATATATTCTGGGATACTCCCAGAGTATCCCAGCCTCTTCCAGCCTCTCCCAGAGTATCCCAGCCTCCCACAGAGTATCCCAGCCTCCCACAGAGTATCCTAGTCTCCCACAGAGTATCCCAGCCTCTCACAGAGTATCCCAGCCTCTCACAGAGTATCCCAGCCTCTCACAGAGTATCCCAGCCTCTCACAGAGCATCCCAGCCACTCACAATGCATCCCAGCCTCTCACAGAGTATACCAACCTCTCACAGAGCATCCCAGCCTCTCACAGAGTATACCAGCCTCTCACAGAGTATCTCGACCTCTCACAGAGTATCCCGACCTCTCACAGAATATCCCAGCCTCCCACAGAGTATCCCAACCTCTCGTAGAGTATCCCAGCCTCTCACAGAGTATCCCAGCCTCTCACAGAGTATCCCAGCCTCTCACGGAGTATCCCAGCCTCTCACAGAGTATCCCAACCTCTCACAGAATATCCCAGCCTCTCACAGAATATCCCAGCCTCTCACAGAATATCCCAGCCTCCCACAGAGTATCCCAACCTCTCACAGAGTATCCCAACCTCCCACAGAGTATCCCAGCCTCTCACAGAATATCCCAGCCTCCCACAGAGTATCCCAACCTCTCACAGAGTATCCCAACCTCCCACAGAATATCCCAGCCTCCCACAGAGTATCCCAACCTCTCACAGAGTATCCCAGCCTTCCTCAATTGTTAGGTACCTCCAGTGGAGGCAGACAATCCCAGATGGACACCACGTCTCTGCACGGGGTCCTCTCTTATTGTGGGTGCTCGTGGGTCGGTTGGTAGGACTGTAAGCTGCTGGGTTTGAGGGTTCGTCTATCTAGCTGGAGCCATGAGGTCTCTTCCCGCTGTTTCCATTTTCTATCTAAATATACATCTATCTTTTCCCCTCTATCCATCCATTTATCTCCTTCTTATTCATCCATATATTTATCCCTTTGTTTATCTATCTATCTATCATCTATCCATCTATCATTTATCCATATATTTATCAATCCCTCTGTCTTCTATCTATACATCTCTCTATATATTTCACCATCAGTTTATCTATCTATATGTCCATCAATCTATATATCAATCTATCTCTCCTTTAGTCTATCTTTCTATTCATCAGTCTTTCTGTCTATCCATCAATCTGTCTATCCATCAATCTGTCTATCCATCTGTCCATCAGTCTATCTGTTCATCTGCCCATCAATCTATATATCTACCCATCTGGCCGTCAATATATCTACCCATCTGGCCGTCAATATATCTACCCATCTGGCCATCTGTTAATCTATCCATCTGGCCATCTGTCAATCTATCCATATGTCCTATCAATCTATCTATCTATCCCTCTCTTCATCTACTGTCTGGCTCTGTCTCTGCCTCTCTGTCCCTGTCTCTTTGCCTCTATCTCTCTGTTTTTGTCAGTGTCTGTCTCTTTGTCTCTATGTCTGTCTGTCTCCCTGTCTCTCTATTTGCCTGTCACTCTATATATGTCTGTCAAACTCTTTTTCTCTTATAAAATATGTAATTGTCTAGTGCATACGTGGTCCAGAGAAACGTTGGGTGAAATACTGAACAAAAGAATTGTTGCCCCATACTAGGTACATGCTCGTAGCTTGAGAAGCCTTTAAAGCTGTGGAAGAATTGTGTGTTTTATGCCAGTACGGGCAAATTATTGTCAGCAGGAACTTTCTGTTAATTTCGAGAGATCAGTGAATAACAATGCACATTACTATATGGGAACTTCTTTTTTGCTCAAAACTTTGCTTTGAAAATATTTAGGAGGCGGGCAGGGGCGTAAAATTGTCGTGGTTTTTTTGGCCCCGGCACGCTGTTCCCTTTTGAATTCTGGCGAGCAGCCTATGTTCATCCCGTACCTCAGACCACTCCCGGCTCTGCCAATTTGTATGAGGCTAACCCCTTCCGTGTGGCCTCCAGCTTTGAACAGACAGACAAACAGACATTCTCTCTTCAGCCCGTCCTCCTAAGGTTTCCTAAGGTTTCCCAACGTCAAGAAAGCGGTCAATTTAACGTGTTCTCTCTTAACCCACCAGAGGACCCAAAACAGAAAACGCATACGAGCGAAATACGACGTTCTTTGTAGAACAAGTTGCTCTCATTGTATAGATATCCCCCAGAGATCTCCAGCTTAATTATCAAAAACAATGCACAAGCAGACGAGGAGTCACAGTAACGTGGCTGAAATATGTTGACCAAACCACACACTAGAAAGTGAAGGGACGATGACGTTTCGGTCCGTCATGGACCATTCTCCAGTCCAGGACCATTCATAATCGACTTGAGAATGGTCCAGAACGGACCGAAACGTCGACGTCCCATCACTTTCTAGTAGGTGGTTTGGTCAACAATGCACAAATTCCTTGAAACAATCTTGGTCTCCAAGTTCACTTGCTCTTTAAGAACCAGCAACGTCTACATAACAACAGTTACATTGCCATACTTAAGGAAGCCGGAGTCATATGTGGCCGCTGCGAGAGACATCAACAAGACATACAACACCGATTTACAAAACATATCTTGGTCGCCAACACTAAGGTAAAAAATGACTGCAGCGGCCATAGGAATCTACAAATCCTCGAGGTCGTCATTATCAAAGAGAAAAACCCGTACATAAATATTCAAGGAGGATCCAACACCATCCTGAAACTACAAAGCAACGCTACTTGAGAAACAGATCTTAGCCGCGGAGAGTGAGCTACATTTTTCAACAAGCCTCCAAGGGACATATTCTGGTCAGGTCTTGCCTTATAAATACCTGTACTCTGCTGTCTTCTCTCCGCAATACCACAGCTACCGGCCTGGGGTCATCTATATGGTAAGAGATGCCTTCCAACGCCGTGAGAGAGAGTGTATGTGTGTGTTTACTATTCGCATTTATTATTTGTGCCTGCTGGAGAGGGCTCTTAGCTCTTGTACCCCGGCTTTCTAACCGTAGGGTGTCGAATGCTATGACTTCTGGTCAATTTGTTTTTCTCTATCACCTACGTACATTTTTCTTTCTCATATACACATCCTCAAGATGCAACGTTCAATAGATACCTCGTTTTTACTTCCAGGCGAAGAAAGATATTAGTTGAAGTTCTCGCTCTGTCTCTCTGCCTCTCTATGTGTATCGCTGTCTGTATTTACTATGTGTATCTGCAGAATCGAGCTATTAGCTCTTGGACCCCGCCTTTCTAACCCATCTGTTTTTACTCTATTATGCTATGCAATAATCAGATATGATATCAGATATGCTGCTTATCAGATAAATCAGATAAGCAGCAAACAGTTCCGTGATGAACAACAATCGAACACTTTTTGAGCAGCAATCAGGACCGTATTAGTAAGAATCAGACACGTATTAGTAAGAATCAGACACGTATTAGTAAGAATCAGACACGTATTAGTAAGAATCAGACACGTATTAGTAAGAATCAGACACGTATTAGTAAGAATCAGACACGTATTAGTAAGAATCAGACACGTATTAGTAAGAATCAGACACGTATTAGTAAGAATCAGACACGTATTAGTAAGAATCAGACACGTATTGGTAAGAATCAGACACGTATTAGTAAATATCAGACACGTATTAGTAAGAATCAGACACGTATTAGTAAGAATCAGACACGTATTAGTAAGAATCAGACACGTATTAGTAAGAATCAGACACGTATTAGTAAATATCAGACACGTATTAGTAAGAATCAGACACGTATTGGTAAGAATCAGACACGTATTAGTAAGAATAAGACACGTATTAGTAAGAATCAGACAAGTATTAGTAAATATCAGACACGTATTAGTAAGAATCAGACACGTATTAGTAAGAATCAGACACGTATTAGTAAGAATCAGACACGTATTAGTAAATATCAGACACGTATTAGTAAGAATCAGACACGTATTAGTAAGAATCAGACACGTATTAGTAAGAATCAGACACGTATTAGTAAGAATCAGACACGTATTAGTAAGAATCAGACACGTATTAGTAAGAATCAGACACGTATTAGTAAGAATCAGACACGTATTAGTAAGAATCAGACACGTATTAGTAAGAATCTGACACGTATTAGTAAGAATCAGACACGTATTAGTAAGAATCAGACACGTATTAGTAAGAATCAGACACGTATTAGTAAATATCAGACACGTATTAGTAAGAATCAGACACGTATTAGTAAGAATCAGACAAGTATTAGTAAATATCAGACACGTATTAGTAAGAATCAGACACGTATTAGTAAGAATCAGACACGTATTAGTAAGAATCAGACACGTATTAGTAAGAATCAGACACGTATTAGTAAGAATCAGACACGTATTAGTAAGAATCAGACACGTATTAGTAAGAATCAGACACGTATTAGTAAGAATCAGACACGTATTAGTAAGAATCAGACACGTATTAGTAAGAATCAGACACGTATTAGTAAATATCAGACACGTATTAGTAAGAATCAGACACGTATTAGTAAATATCAGACAAGTATTAGTAAGAATCAGACACGTATTAGTAAGAATCAGACAAGTATTAGTAAATATCAGACACGTATTAGTAAGAATCAGACACGTATTAGTAAGAATCAGACACGTATTAGTAAGAATCAGACACGTATTAGTAAGAATCAGACACATATTAGTAAGAATCAGACACGTATTAGTAAGAATCAGACACGTATTAGTAAGAATCAGACACGTATTAGTAAGAATCAGACACGTATTAGTAAGAATCAGACACGTATTAGTAAGAATCAGACACGTATTAGTAAGAATCAGACACGTATTAGTAAGAATCAGACACGTATTAGTAAGAATCAGACACGTATTAGTAAGAATCAGACACGTATTAGTAAGAATCAGACACGTATTAGTAAGAATCAGACACGTATTAGTAAGAATAAGACACGTATTAGTAAGAATAAGACGCATCTTGGTAACCAATCAGAAGCGTGTTGAGCAACAATTAATCACGTGTCGTGAAACAAGTCCAAAAATTATCTTCGAAAACGTTAAACAAATTTGTATATATATTGTTAACGTAAATATTAAAAAACATGAACTTTCCTGTATAAAATGCTCATTTAAGCATAAGTTTTTGGGTGTGGATAATTTAATTAAATATTTAGCTACACAACACTAATGTATTACAGAGATATGCACGTTCATTTGCATAGTGAAAGAGATAGCCCCTAATACGGTGACGGACTGTTCGTCAAATGCTATCGTTTCGTCACAGAAAAGGCGAATGAGAATTAAAAATATTGCTTTAGTTTATTTATTTAACAATACAATTTTTGTATCATCCATATGAGGAAGTTTTCTCTCTCTCTCTCTCTCTCTCTCTCTCTCTCTCTCTCTCTCTCTCTCTCTCTCTCTCTCTCTCTCTCTCTCTCTCTCTCTCTCTCTCTCTCTCTCTCTCTCTCTCTCTCTCTCTCTCTCTCTCTCTCTCTCTCTCTCTCTCTCTCTCTCTACAAGACAAGTTACCTTACAAGTGTGTTATCTATAAGTTATGTTATCGCAAGGGAAAGTTATCATAAATATATTTTAGAACTGCGAATCAATAATTTTACAATTTCTCATGGGATTCTGTGTTTTCTAACACCCTTGGTTCCTTATCAAGATCAAATACGTGACAGAAGAAAACTTTAATACAGACTCATTGCAGCGTTAGGAAAGAATATGATAACAAGGATAACAAAGGGACAACCACTCACACCATCAGGGAGGGATTCGAACACCTATCCGGCAAAGATGCAATAATTTTGTCTTTGCTTAAGTAACGTAACAGAGGCTTCATTCAATCACAATTTTGTTATGATATTCGTTATTGATTAAAGAAAATTAAAACAAAGTTATATTTAACACGAACATCAGTTTTGTCAATAGAATATGACTTTGGAAATGTAATAGTGTTTATGGTTGTATTCAATTTTTTTTTAAATTACACTCGAAATTTAAAATATTAAGAAGACTTTTTTCCCCTTTGACTATTGTAATTGAAATATTAAGAACACATTTTCCTTTTGAATATGGTAATTGAAATATTAAGAAAACTAATTTCCCCTTTGACTATTGTAATTGAAGTATTAAAAAGATTTTTTTCCCTCTGACTATTGTCATTAAAATATTAAGAAGACAAATGAACAAATCCCCAAGGGCCGTGACGAGGATTCGAACCTGCGTCCGAGAGCATCCCAGACGTTGCCTTAATCGACTGAGCTATGACCTGGTAAGAGAGTTGAAACCGTTTCCAAGTAATTTCAGTAGAACTTCTAGTTTCAACTCTTTTTACCATATCATAGCCCAGTCGATTAAGGCAGCGTCTGGGATGCTCTCGGACGAATGTTCGAATCGTCATCACGGCCCTTGTGGATTTGTTCATTTGATGCATCACGCTATTGTGATTTCTGTGTGTAATTAAAAAGACTTTTTCCCTCTGACTCTTGTAATTGAAATACTAAGAAGACATTTCCCTTTGACAATTCTAATTATCTTGACGGAGAATGGTTTGTACCAAACGAAAATAGGAAGTAAACACATAACAACTTCATAAAGATAAAGATACAGACCATCACTTGAGCTCCGTCTCTCAAGACTTCCCTCAGGTGGCCAAGATCATCACTCGAGCATAAACAATGCAGAGTGAATGACCTGCCTCTGACAAGAAGTAGACGGACACAGACAAGGAGAGATAAGACACAGAAAAGTCACATCTCCACAACACAAAAATTAAGACAAAAAAAAACATGAAAATCGCGGGTTGAAACTTTATATATCGGATCTCCCGTGTTCCCTGCCACATAAATACTTGATGAGAGGAGCAGACGCCTCGGATATATCTTGCTGGTATAGTTCTTGGGCTGTGTATTTTACCTGTAACGCTCCTAGATAACCGCAACATGATCTTCAGATCGGGAGAGGGAGGGAGAGAGAGAGAGAGAGAGAGAGAGAGAGAGAGAGAGAGAGAGAGAGAGAGAGAGAGAGAGAGAGAGAGAGAGAGAGAGAGAGAGTGGATGCATGTGAATGTGAGAAGTGGGAGTGCCTTGTTGTGTGTGTGTGGATGTTTATGTGTATGTTTCTGTGCTCGTTGTGTATATATGTGGGGTGTGGTGTGTGTGTGTGTGTGTGTGTGTGTGTGTGTGTGTGTGTGTGTGTGTGTGTGTGTGTGTGTGTGTGTGTGTGTGTGTGTGTGTGTGTGTGTGTACTCACCTAGTTGTACTCACCTAGTTGTGTTTGCGGGGGTTGAGCTCTGGCTCTTTGGTCCCGCCTCTCAACCGTCAATCAACAGGTGTACAGATTCCTGAGCCTATTGGGCTCTATCATATCTACACTTGAAACTGTGTGTGTGTGTGTGTGTGTGTGTGTGTGTGTGTGTGTGTGTGTGTGTGTGTGTGTGTGTGTGTGTGTGTTAGAGAGAAATATAAGAAGCAGACACAATAGAGGAAAAATAGATTGGTTAGAAAGACGAGGTCCAAGAGCTAATAGCACGATCCTGTATACACAAATAGTAAATACACACTCACATACACTAACACACATACATATCCCCCCCCCCCTCCTAAAAAAAACTATCAACTTGTGGCGAACAAAGTCAAACAGCCGCAGCTCATCAAACACAACACACACCGACCTTCTATCTCAACGGGGCGGCACAAAAATCACCCTCCCACCCCCACCCATACCCCTTCCACGGTCAACACGGCCCAAGCGGCTCAGCATTCCGGCCAGGGAGAGGTTGGTCACGATCCTGGGTTGGCTCAGTGACGTCACGAACCAGCCGATGATGGCTCTGTCAACACTGGGGGCCACGGGGGGTCACTTGTACGACTTGACCACTTTCTCGGGGCACAAGTTGTTGGACTGTCTTGACCGAAGTCTGGTCAGGTGGGTAGCGAGGTGCTGGAGACGGAGGGAGGGATAGGTATACGTAAAGACCTTTTGTGCCCTCTGTAATGCTTTTTGCGCTACCGCTCAAAGGATGAGTATGGGATGCACAATAAACTAGCCGCCGGAGGCGGCCACAATCAAGAATGTGTATGACTGATTGAGTGCGAACTGACATACACAGATAGTTTGATGACCTTTACTGTTCTCCTGTCCTCCCCCCTTTTCCCTTGCTAACTTGCCTCCCTATCTCCCTGTCTCCCTTGATCCCTATTCCACCCTCATCTTCCTCTTCTTCTCTCTGCTTGACTAACTTGCCTCAGGCTCAGTTTGAAGACAGATACAGAGGTCCATTGTGAACCTGGAGCTTCATCAGAGTGACCAGGCAAGGTCACATCCAGTCAGCCAACACCCTCACTATTCTTGTAAAGTCTGTGTAAGGAGCTGAAATTTACTTTTGACCAGACTCTTGCGTTCACATGGACCACAGGACAGAGGAAAATGTCATCATCTGTGAAATTGACAGAATGAAGAGCACGGGGATTCAGAGAGCAGTGGAGAAGTCGTATAATAAATGCATCTTTTGCATCCAATGTAAAAGAAAATTTTGTTATTGTTTCTATGGCCAAGATATGTGAGCCTGTAATTATTCAAACCAAATAACAGGGATGAGGGCGATATGTAGATTGATTAGGAAGATTGTGTAGTACTTAATAATTCGTTTCCAGGAAGTCTTGTGTTTGATCCTGAGCTTTCTCCAGACTCAGGTGAGGCAGGAAACAACCATCTCCAGATAAAGGAAGGACCAGCATAGAAGGGTCACCATTAGAACTATGGAAACGACTACAAGACTTGTCACGAACGTCTCAGTCCTGGGGCCAGATTCACGAAGCAGTTACTCAAGTACTTTTGAACGTGTACATCTTTTCCCAATGCAGACGAGGAGTCCCAATAACGTGGCTGAAATATGTTGACCAAACCACACACTAGAAAATGAAGAGAGGACGACGTTTCGGTCCGTCCTGAACAGACAGGTTGATTGTGTGAACAATCGACTTGAGAATGGTCCAGAACGGACCGAAACGTCGTCGTCTCTTCAGTTTCTAGTGTGTGGTTTGGTCAACATCTTTCCTCAATCATTGACGGCTTTTGTTACATTTATTAAATTGTTTACAAGCACGAAAACATCAAAATCCACTTGTTATTGTTATAAACAACCTCCTGGTGCTTCGGAGCTCATTAACTGTTTAATAATTGTAAAAAAAAGCCACCAATGATTAGGAACAGATGTACAGGATCGTAAGTGCTTGCGTAACTGCTTCGTGGTTCTGGCCCCTGGAGAACATTCCTCCAATAACAACAAAAAGAGTAAGCTGCAGCAATATACAATCCCATTGCAGTATAGTATAGTATATACTATAGTATAGTTAACAGTATAGTTAACAGTATAGTACAGTAGAGAACAGTACACTATAGTAGAGCAGTATAGTTAACTGCTCACTAGATGATAGCCAAGAGCTACCAGAAGCGTCAGTTAGCGAGCGAATGCAATATAATTTTACTTCAGTATATGCGGACAGGGAGCCGGTCGGCCGAGCGGACAGCTTGTGATCCTGTGGTCCCGGGTTCGATCCCAGGCGCCGGCGAGAAACAGTGGGCAGAGTTTCTTTCACCCTATGTCCCTGCTACCTAGCAGTAAAATAGGTACCTGGGTGTAAGTCAGCAGTCATGGGCTGCTTCCTGGGGGTGGAGGCCTGGTCGAGGACTGGGCCGCGGGGACACTAAAGCCCCCGAAATCATCTCAAGATATTTTTTTTTTTTTTTGAGATATATACAAGAGTTGTTACATTCTTGTACAGCCACTAGTACGCGTAGCGTTTCGGGCAGGTCCCTGGAATACGATCCCCTGCCGCGAAGAATCGTTTTTTCATCCAAGTACACATTTTACTGTTGCGTTAAACAGAGGCTACAGTTAAGGAATTGCGCCCAGTAAATCCTCCCCGGCCAGGATACGAACCCATGACATAGCGCTCGCGGAACGCCAGGCGAGTGTCTTACCACTACACCACGGA